ATACAGGGTTGAGGCTAGGTTTTAGAGGTTTTTCTCAGCCAGACTTGGAAGTGATGCATGAGGCAGGAGAGAGCCATGATGGTGGATGAATGACACCTTTTAATTAAATTAATCCAGCAACATTGCAGAGGCGAGACTAGGAGAAGAGTCTGGAATCATGAAGCTTATTGTATTGATTCACGTCTGTAGCGTGTGAGCCTGAACTCTGGTGGTCCATAATCCTGGAGGGAATTGAGAAGGCTCCATCCAATTTAAAAAGGGACTCACCACAAGAGTGAGGAGAATTTAAATGTTGGAAATTATTTCACAAAGTGCTATTTTGTTCCTCAGCTAGTCCCTTCCCTCTCATGTAGTTATTTATTAAATTTTCTCGGATATTTGCTGCTGCTGCTGTTCCTAAAATGCTTAACATTTCTTTCTCTCTCATAAATGACGGTCTCCATAACCTCTCCCAATCCAGCCCTCATCATTTTTCCTTTTAATCTTAAACTAAAAATGTGCTCCTCAGGCACTCTCTGGTTGTTAATTGGAATGTCATTGGTGAAGCTTGCATGGTGGCATTGTAATTACTTCCCTGTATTGTCTTAATTCCCCACCACCCCCATCGCCCTGTTCACATCTGAAAATGATAAGTCTCTATTCAACCCCTTGGTCTCAGCGCTTAGTTAAGCGGTAGGCAGGTGGTTGTCTGGGGATGGGCTTGAATGCTTAATCCTCTTTGTTCAGGTCTGAATAGGAGTCACCTTGAGCAGCAACACCTGTAAGGAGTGTGTAGTTGCAGGAAAGTTCTTCGAGAGCTGTGGTTCTCAAAGTGGGGTCCCCGGCTCAGCAGCAGCATCTGGGAAATGCAGATCCTCAGGACCCCATACCAAGCCAACTGTATCAGGAGCTCTGGGGGTGGGGTCCACCGGTGTTTTAACAAGCCCTCCAGGTGCATGCTAAAGTTTGAGAAACACTGTTCTGGAGAAATATTTTCAAAGGGTTGGAAAGCCAGCCTCAAGAGAGTTAGGAAAACAGACTTCAGAAAATACCAGGGAAGTTTTAGAGGCTGAGAAGAGAGGCAGTTACTTCCTTCTTGGAGATGATACAGGCATCATAACTGCTAGAAGTGAGATTTTTGTCCTTAGCCCCCTGCCCCTTAAAAGAAAACCTGGGTAGTCATTGCTTGCCTCATGCTTTGGAAAGATAAGTTCTGAAGTCAGTCTTCAAGAAGGACTGTTGGATCTCCCTGCTCAAAGGTCTTCGTGGGATACTGTATTATTAAATAGGTGAAAAAAGAGATATATTTCCCACTTGGGTGAGTCTCATTTTCCTCTGTAGAGACATCTAAATACTTAGGTTATGCTTACTTGATGGTCAAGAGGAAACAAGGGTTCGTATTCCAACCTGTTCTACTCTGAAAGTTTATCCCATTAGGAGCAGCTTTTTATTGAGGTTCTCTTGAAGGTGCCCCAATCATAGAGTCCTGATCAAAATGCTAAATTTGTCTAAGGTTTTAGTATCACACTGGATCCATGGACTATGAGAGCCTAGTAATGAACAGTCCATCAGCTTACCAAGTATCTTATCTCCTCTAATTAGTAAGTCATTAGTTAACCAAGAGCAACTTAGGGAAAGTCAGTTCTACTACGAGGTCTGGTGTTTTTATTTCAGTTCTTAAAACTCTTATTTATTTATTTTTTTTCTGTTGGCAACATAAGTCCATAAAAAGCCTGTTGTGATGTGGGCATGCCTCATCAGAATGGCGATCCAAATTTAAGTGTGTAATTCAGAGTCACTTTCCTTTGTAGAAAAAAATAAAGTGATTCCTAGCTCTTAAAATTTCTAGACAAGGAACTCTTCTATTTTACACAAGAAGGAAGAGTTTGTTATTTCATTCTCCGTCCTACAATGAGCATTAATCAAGATAAAGTCTCTTTGGGAGGAAAATAAATCCTGGCTGATATGGCCAACCCTTTTGTTGTTGAATTCTGTATTTTCTTTCTATAAGATCAATGAACTTCTCCCTGGGTTGTTTCCATTTGGGGAATGAAATGATGGGGCTTTAGAATCTCTGCTCTGTGGTCTTTGATTGTGTGAGTCCATGGACTAAAGGCACTCAGAGGATTTGTCTTGGAGGGGATCCTGATAAACCGTTCTGATGCCACTTGAGAAAACTAGGCAGGCCATTTCTCCTTGGGCTCTTATGGCAAGCAGGAAAGAGCTGAGAGAGATAGAAAACAGACTCCCTGATCACTCTGGTCCTACTGGGTTCCTGGGGGTTGGCCCTGTTCTGTTGCAGAGTTTCCTGCTTGTCTCCCCCTTCTTCATCTTAGTGAAGTGGCTCACGTTACTGGTGAGCTTCAGCCAGAGGGAAAGCCTCCGGCACCAGCAGCATAATTTACTTCCTTTATTGTTTCAGCTCAAAGTCTGAGACTCAAGGAATGATATAACAGGATGATTAAATCAGTTCTCTAAAGTTTTGAATAAAAGACTAGAGAAAAGGTCTATTATGGTTTCAACATTGGTCTCTGTAAGTCAGGAGTGCTGTTGAGGTGTATTTTTCAACAGAGTGTCCTTTAGCATCAAGCCCTCTCATTGCTGCCTTTAGGGATGGGCAATGTAGGAGGGAACAGCAGAAATGACAAGGAAGTCAAGAAAGTGCAAATAAGTTGCTACAGCCTAATTCCTTATACTCTTTCAAATATCTACTTCCATTTGTGTCGAACCGAAATATCCTCAGTGGCATTGAGCTAACATCTCTTCCCCCACTGTTCCATTTGCTTCCACAGCCTAGCAAATACTCTCCCTGCTCGATGTATTTCAAGGTTACTACGAAATTAACTACAGAAGCAATGGAATTAATAGGAGCTAGGGAACTCATAGGACCCTCAAATATACCACCAGTAACTATTGTGAGAGCAATAGTAAGGTTATTGTGTGGCCTTGGTGAAGTGATACTGGGTTTTCCATAATAGACTTGAGAACCAAGACTTTCTCTCCGTCCCCTAAATTGTGTATACCTCAGTCTTGATGAAAACAAATTTATAATGCACAGCTGAGTCACTGCTGGCACAAGGGAAGACATGAGTGCAACACAGTATTTACCAACAGAGCCCCCCCATCGTCAATCTCTCTCTCTCTCTCTCTCTCACACACACACACACACACACACACACACACACACACACAGTTTACTCTTTCACTACTCTGTAGCACGTCATACCAGTGGCTTACATAGCACAGAGCTGCATTGTCTCTTCATCCCTTGGGATCTGTAGTGGACTTCTGGTCAACCTAGTTCATGTACTTCTTTCCCTTGCAGCTAGAGTAGCTAAGAACTCTGACACATGTGGACCTTGTGGGTTTTGTTCTTGAAACTAAACAAAATGCCATCATGGCTTGGGAATTGTAGAAGTGTCCCTTATTAACCCCAGGCCTGAATTCTCCTTTTTTCATTGAATCAATACCTGAGTAGGAGACCAGGCAAAGAGCAGGGTGGGCTGTGGTGTTTAGTCTCTTCTGCTCCTGCCTCCTTTCAGCATTGGACTAAGCAAACTCCATGCTGTCTCTCCTCCCACTTGCCCTTAGTGAAAACCTAGCAGTTGCCACTTCCTTTATGCAATAACTGTTTTTCAGTGTTTGTTTTTTGTTCAGTCCGCTTACTTTGTAAATGCAAATGTAGATTCCTCTTCATGCTTGTCGGGAGGGTTTTCCACGTATTTGTGATTTGGGAGACGACAAAGGGCATGTTTGACTTATAATACAGATGAAGAATGGATAAATCCGGTGCATGTAACATAGTCGGAGAGTCCCACAGACTGACTCACCCTGCCTTTAAGTGGGCCCTGCATTCTCATACTGCACAGATTCCTGCCTGTTGAACAACTAAGCACTGCCGTTACGGAAGTACAACTATACTAACTGGTATTGTGTACAGTGATTTCCAAAGTGGTGATACTCGGAAATCCTCCATCCTGCACTTCTCAAGCTAGCCCTCTCCTGGCCCGGAGGTCCATGTTGCTTCCCATCTGGGGAAAGTATTTTACTTCTCTCCATCCTCCCTTCTCTCCCTCACCTCACCTTCTTGATGTTCCTGGCCTGAGTAGTACCATTTGCTTACTGATAACAGTATACTGTGACTTTTCATTCACAGCTTTGAAAGGCTTATGAGGCTTTCCTGCTTCCCACCCAGCCCAAACCTTGGGACTTTTCACACTCTGATCCTCTGATCAGTTTGATGCAGGAAAGCACATGGAAGCCATGTACCAGTTTGTATAGTCGTACACTTTGGAACTGCCTACTCTTGAACAAAGTAGAGTGTGCTGGGGATTCGCACTGGCTGCTTGACACACGCAAAGGCAATTAACCTGCATGCCAAAAAAAAAAAAAAAAAATTAACCCTTAGAGTACTGCTTCAATATATTGGTTTAATGGTCTTGAATTTTACCGGTTGGGCCATGCTTCTTTCCCCAGATCAGAGTGCTGCATTTAAGTCCATATTTAGTCTAGCCAGAACATCAACCAGGATCCTGTCCTCCACAGCTTTCCTGAGATGCTCTAAAACACAGCCATTGTGTTTAATTGAAAATGGGCTTCATTTCTAATGTGCTGGAGAGTAGGAGGGACTGCTTTTAGCTTACGTTTGTGTCCTCTAAAAGAAGTCAGTTCTTTAAGGGTTAATATGAAATTGAGGAATTTGGTGGTTTCTTCTGCTTGTCCTTCCTCCAAGGTGTCTGCATGATCCTCTTTAGATTCTTAGCTCAGCTGTTGAATGATGATGAAAATAATATATGTATAAAATGATGAAAACAAATAAAAGAACAAAAGACCGTATGGTTGAATGGAAAGACCCCTTGGCAATGCTTGCTTGATGATCACAGGGGATAGAAAGACCAAATGTTTTATTTTATGAACGTTCATTTTGTCCTCTCCCCCAAGCACCACCACTGCACAGCAATGTGGAAGACTTGACGATGCTTTTCATTTACCTCTTGCTTTTTCTTCTTCCTGTCTAATAGCCCAATAGAATCCTGCCAGAATTTCTACAAAGATTTCACATTACAGATCGACATGGCTTTCAACGTGTTCTTCCTTCTCTACTTTGGCTTGCGGGTAAGTTTGAACAACACTGCTCAGTAGCACGATGAGGCATGCACGTCTTATACCCAGGGACCATTCTGCATCAGCCATCCGCTCCCGCAGGCAAGATGAAGCCCAGTGTTTCCAGGGGAGACGATAGATCTGCATTCTGATTTTCTGCGAGAGAGCCCTTTCCTTAGCTCAGCATTTCCTAAAGTACCTGTTAATTTTGTTCCGAGCAGGAGAGATAGGCATTGAAATAACTATTACACCTCTGCTGGTCTACTGCTTTTCATCTCTCTAGTCACGCATGAATGCATGGTTACCTTAAATAGGAGGGAAGAAAACATTCTCCTCTTAAAATTATGCTTATCAGCTGAATCCTGAGAGAACAGTGAGTTGTGAGGGTTGAATCAAGGGGCTGGATTGGCAGAATTTGCGGCTTGGGGGATTTATACTAGACCTTGTTTATGAAGGGAGCTGTACAGAATGTAGATTACAGAGATTGTGTGTGTGAATGAATGCATACATATATGCTTTATTTATAGTTATATTCATATTAGAGACTTTAAGAAAGGTGAGATAATTCAAACTTCCCTATGATGCCGTTGAAAACCACAGAAAAATATACTACCTGATCTTTCTCCAAGGCTAACATAGCTTACAGTCACTCTCTAGAAAAGACTAGAGAGTGTATGCAAATTCGAAGACAAAAATAGCATGTGATTGGTGTAGATATAAGAAGAACATAAACTCTCCCTCCAGGCCCCCGTGAAAAACCAAAACGTACCCTTTGGCAAAAGAGTATAGTTGGAATGCCGGCACCCTGCTTCTCATTTTTTTTTTCTCTCTCTCTTCTTTTTTATTTCCCCCAGTTTATTGCAGCCAATGATAAGCTGTGGTTCTGGCTGGAAGTGAACTCTGTAGTAGATTTCTTCACGGTCCCCCCCGTGTTTGTGTCTGTGTACTTAAACAGAAGTTGGCTTGGTAAGTCAATCTGTCTTCCTTCCTTCTTACTGGTTTCTGAGCCATGGCTGAAATATAGAATCGGGTGCATCAGAGGACTGGGAATCCACAGAAGGAAAGTTTTGTGGATTCATGTGCACAACTCCTGGAGTTTTTAGAAGCTGACGGTTGAGAGTCCTCTTGGAAGCAAAGCGCTAGCCAAGAAGGATGTGTACAGTGAGTGCTTCAGAGAATGTTTTATCATTGTGGAAGCCCAGTGGCCATCACTGTCACAGCCAGGACCTCTTCATTCATGGTTCTGTCACTTTCCATTCAACTGGGAGTCAGGGCTGGATGAAGAAGCCCATGGGCACAAGGCCAGCTTTCTGAGTAGCTGATTCAGGTGCCCCAGAAGGCCTGCCTGCCAAAGTTAGCTTCTGTCTGCTGCTTAGTTTTGTGATGAGTGGGTCCTGCGTGGTTTATTTATGGTTGTGAGTTCCCTTGTAGGGTGGGAGATAAGGTAAGTGTCTAGGGTCACCCTTACCTTGAGGGAGATCAAGCTCCTTTCCTGTGTTAAAGGAAGAGCTTTTGCTGGAGTTGTGTTCACACCTCACTTCCTGTGTCTGCTTGGCAGGTCACTTCCTGTGTCAGGATTAGGACGATTTGGTGGGAAAAGTAACTAGCTCAGAGGATGGTCATGACAGCCAAAGGCTTAGAGAGACAGCTTCGGGGTTCTCTTTGCCACACTGAATAATTTCCTCAGAGTGTTCCTGCTGTCACGGGTCTACAGGGGAAGAGGGGTGACTGAAACAGGGCTCGGAGGACTAGTTGTGGGATCCTTCTGTCTTTATTTTCAGAAATTTTTGGTCTTAACCTATTTTTTTCCGAAGTAATATATATATATATATATATATATGTATACATGTATGTGTGTGTGTGTATGTGTGTGTGTGTGTGTGTGTGTATATATATATATATATATATATAAAATAATATCAACATTCAAAGATGCATAATGAAAATATTAAGTGTCTCTTCCGCCCGCGTCCATCACTGCCCTCTCCCTGGGATGCTCAGCGTTATAGACGTTCACATCTTTCCTTCATGCTGATTTCACCACAAACACACACGGACGTGCACACATAATAGTGTTTTAGAGGCAGTGGTCTTTGTACAAAATCATTGTATTAGTCACATTGCACTGCACTTTGGCTTTCTTACTAACGGATAGATGACAGCCATCCCTTCAGCTCTGTAATGATTCATTTTATGACAATTGCACAAAATCCCATACGTTGCTGTACTGCATTTATTCAGCCATGATCCAAATGACGCACCACGTGATTGTTTTCTTTTCTCCTATAAACAATGGCTTAGTCAACACTCTCATCCACATATCTGTACAATTCTATCTCTAGATAGAATTCCTGGAAGAGGACTTGCTGGATCAAAGAGAATGTATATTTTCGTTGGTGAAGATATTAATGGAGAACTTTTCAAAAATGTTGTATCAAGATATGCTTCTGCTAGCAGTATGTTTTGACGTCCTTGCTAGCACTGTGAATTCATTATATACCTAGTATCAAGTATTTTAAAAATAAGTATCTTTTATATACAATGTATGCAGTAATCACATACATACATGTATGTATGTATCTCTGTGTATCTTATTTGGATTCTATTTTCTACTAGTTTTCTCATTAGCATTGTATTCAGTTGCTCAATGGAAATGTTTTCCTTCCTGATCTGAGGGGTGCTTGCTTAGATGGGGTTTTCTTGCCAGCACGATGAGACCATTAGAGCTGCTCAACAATCTGAGAAACATCCTGAGTGTGTGTTTGTTAATTTGCTCTGGTGCCTGGGGTCCCAGCCATTTCAGCTGAGTTCTTAACCAGCCTTGTGACCTGAGGAACTCACTTTTCTTCCCTCAGCCTGTTGTTTTTCATCTGTGAAATAGAGGTTGGGTTAGACAATCGCTAAGTTTCTATCATTTCAGAACATCTCTAAGCCTCTTTCATCATTCATGGGAAATTTGAGAAAATTTGGGATCTTGGTTGTTGCAGAGGACTGGGAAGTTAGTGAATTAAATCACCAGCATACCTGGGTCAAGATTATGTATGGACTGCTAACCGGGGCTCTTTCTAAACCATCCTGTTGTGAAGAGTTCACACAAACACACCCCCAAACAAATAGACAAGGAACGAAGGAAGGGAGAGAAGGCAGAAGGGAGGAAGAGAGTGGGAGGGAGGAGAGAGAGAGAAAGAGAGAGAAGGGTGGAGGGGGGAAAGGAAGAAGGAAGGAGGAAGAAAAGGAATCTGCCTTCTCTTCCTGGCTGTGTTCTAATGCCTCTGTGCACTTGAACAACCACTCACTTTTCTGGACCCTCAGTTTTCCCATCAGAAAAATGGGAGGTTTAGACTAAACTACCTTCCAGCCCTCATACTTCCTGAATCTGAATTTTATGTCAGGGTTCCTTGTGGTCCTAGAAGGTGGAGAGCACCCCTACCTGACTGTGGTGGAAACATCCCTTCTCTGCAGCTGGTAGGGCTCGCCCCAGGTCAGGGTGCGGAGCCGGGTCTCCTTGCTGTGAGTGAAACACTCCCTGGAGTCTTAGTGTTGGGAGGACTTGGATGTTGTAAAAAACAACCCAGGCCTTTTTGTGGATGATGTCATCCTGATTTTTGGAGGTGTGTTCTGATCTAGTGAAAATCAATCTGAGAGAACAGAAAAATGGAAGAGAGAGAAGAGAGGGTAGGGGAGGGATAAATTAGGAGTTTGGAACTAGCAGATACAAACTACTGTACGTAAAATAGATAAACAACAAGGACCTACTGTATGGTACAGGGAACTATATTCAATATCCTGTAATAAACCATAATGGAAAAGAATATATATGTGTGTGTGTGTGTGTATATATATATATATATATATATATATATATATATATAACTGAATCACTTTGCTGTACACCACAAACTAACACAACATTATAAATCAACTATAGTTCAGTTAAAAATAAAAAAAGAGGGCTTCCCTGGTGGCGCAGTGGTTGGGAGTCCGCCTGCCGATGCAGGGGACACGGGTTCGTGCCCCGGTCCGGGAAGATCCCACATGCCGCGGAGCGGCTGGGCCCGTGAGCCTTGGCCGCTGAGCCTGCGCGTCCGGAGCCTGTGCTCCGCAACGGGAGAGGCCACAACAGTGAGAGGCCCACGTACCGCAAAAACAGAAAAAAAAAAAAGAGAGAGGGAGAAAAGAGTAATGAGAGACACTTTGCTTTAGTTGTGGTTGCTCTTCAAAAAAATACGCTCTAGAATGTGCTTTAATTTGTTCGTGAATTGAACAATGTTTATAAAGCAGCTACTATGTGCCAGGCACTTTTCCAGATGATTAGGAAACAACAGTGAATAAAATAGGCAGCACTCCACCCTCTGACATTGCAGTGGGGGAAGAACAGGAAACAACAAGCCTAATAAATAAGGAAATTACATAGTATGTTAGGAAGCATAAGTGCTATTGAAGTTGGAAACAAAGACCAGCAACCTTTGGGGTATGAAATAATAATAACAACAACTAAGAACCTTTCTCCTCTTGCAGGAGAAAACATGTTTAATGGAATACTTTTGGTTCTTTGGTAACTAAGCCCCTTGGGTAAAATCCAAAACTGGTCTGCCTGTTATGGAAGAGAATTCAGTATAATGATATTCAAGGAGGTTCCTGCATCTGATTTAATACGTGGGTTATTACACCATGAAACAATTATTGTACCGATGAGCTGCCAGAGATAAAATGAACATTCCCATGAGGTATGGCTTATAAAGTAAAAGGAATAATCCCATCAAATAGGGCATTTCAGAAAGTGCTGCCCTCCTCTTAGAAAATGAAAAGTACTGCCTGTACTGGCTGAGGTTTGGGACAAGATGCAGGAAACTGAAGTCTGCCCCAGATCTGCACACACTTCTTGAGCCTAGTCAAGAGCAGAGGGCTGGCACCGTGGAGGATAAAAAGTGAAATGAACACCACGCCCCCTCTCCCCACTGCCCTTACCTTTTCTGGAGCATAACCTGCATCACGTTTGATTTCCTATTCTTAATATATGGTTGCATATTATATAATACAATATTTATTTACTTTTTTGCATGCATCATCTTAGTGCATTGGACAGTATGTTTATAAAAATAGCTAGTATTAATTCCAGCTGTGCTATGTGCTGGGCGCTCTGGTAAGCCCCTGCAAACGTTGAACTCAATCCTCATAGCAAACCTATGAGGTAGGAATTATTGTCCCCGTTTTACAGATAAGGAGATGGAGGCTCAAAGAAGTTAACTTTCTTGTCCAGGGTCCTGTAGCCTGGGAGTAGGGAAA